CGATGTCGATGCCGACAAAAATCATTGGCGAAGCCATTTACTCTTGGGGGGGAAGGTAGGGCGTGCCAAGAAATCGTTTTTGACTAACATTGGTCCAAAAGAATTGTGTTGAAACTGTTTGGGGTCTATGCTGGTATATACACCAGCAGAACCAATAGGTTGGTTTATAGATGTCTAGATATAAAGTTGTCTTGTCAATAGCCATATGAAATCCACCCCTAACCTGATCGAGCAAAAATCAATATGCCAGTCCCAAACAGGTCGCGAGCGTCGATCTGGCGAATTGGCGGTTCCCTCCGTGTCGAAACATGGCGGGTCGAGCCCCGATGGTGGAGCTCGGCAAACAGCGTTTTGGGCGTTGCGGTGGCCACCGTCGACGTTTTCATTCCCGTCCTGGCAGGCAGCACGGACCTGGCTCGGCCAGTTCCGCGTGTGAAGAAGCCACAGATCGAGCGCAGCAAGGCACTTCAAAGTTGGGTTCTCCGCTCCAAACACCACCGGGACCATATAGACCGATTTCGGCCGCTGATGGCGGATGTGAGAGACCCGCGTTATATGGATGACTGTTTAGAAAGAACCTGTTTTCGCCAAAGAAACATGGTCTGCGTGGAGGAGTCTTGCATGCTTTTGGTGAGAACTTTCACGCGGCTTGGTAGCCAACCTGCGTTGTTTCTTATAGTAGCACAAGGACCTCAATGTGAAACACTACAACTGATCATCACTTGGTTCTTCCAAGTGACCTTTTGACCCCGTGGTTTGAGGTCACTTAGGCTTGTAATAGGTCCCTTACGGACTCCCAAGAGGTCCGCTACATCGGCTGGTGTAAAACGCCATAAAGGACAGGATCTAAAATGCACACCTAGGATTAAGTAATTAACCTCCCCATATTAATCAAGCCCAGCCCGAGCCCCCCCCAAATAGACCAATTAAAAGCCTCAATTTCCACATTGACCTCCCTCTAATGGAAATTCATTGTTACAAACCTCCCCCATTTAATAAGGCCCACCGCCCCAGAAAATTGATGTTTTTTTTCATTGGTACTAGAGTGTGAAACTGATCCAATGGCGCAACTGATCTTTGGACCCAACCTGATTGCTTCTCTTCAAAAAAAGCATTTTACCAACCATCCTAAAAACCACCCCTAGTTTTTCTCTAGAAAAAACAACTAGTAAAGCATTTATTTATTAAATATCACCATCAAAATCTTAAGGTGTTCATACCCCTCACGCACGCCCTACCCCCCCTCGAATAGAGGGTGGGCACCTTCTCCTATTTATCAAGCCAACCCTTGCGCCTCCATCTTGTCTTCCATCCCTTTCATCCTGCAATTCTCAGTCTTGTCAAAACCATCCCAATCAAGGCAGTTATCACCAAATGTTTTCCCAATAGTCTCATGACATGGATTGCAATGGTTTCCCAATTCAATCCCCTTCCCACCCACATCTTCCCAATCGAACCACTGATTGGACACCTGCTCATTCATCATGCGTCATGCATCATCAGGCCATCACCTCTATTAAGGGGACGTGGTCTCCAATACTTCCAATCTCAAACCTTGTTGGCCTTGAAGGGGGGAAGGGGGTTGATTAATCCTACGTGTGCATTGATGTTGACGCAGGATCAACAAACCTCCCTTATAAATCCAAATAAATCCAAGCCAACTCGAGCCTCCAACAATATCGTAATTTCAAAATTGCATTTCCACATTTGCGCCATCCGATTTTTGAAAAACAGCATATTATGCGTCGTCAAAAACTGCAATATTATATATAAACCCATCTGCCTCCAGAAAATTGTATAAAGGGGACAATCTTCCGGAATACTTTTGTCGGACACGTTTGTGCGATACTTTTGCTCGACACTCATTTGCAAAACTCAACACTCTTGTGGCACAGCCTTGTGGGAAACTCTTGTCAGGAACTCTTCCTGGGCAGTCTTGTAAAGCATTTCTGTTAGAAAACTTGCGTTGGACCTCATGTTGCAGCCTGCTACAGCAAAGGAACAGGGCGGTCTTGCAGGGCACTCTTGTGGCAAAGTCTTGCGCGCCACTCTTGTGGGGCAGTCTTGCACATCAAGCAGCCCTGCAGTTTCGCAGCCCAAGCCCTCCAAAACCACAGCCGCCATAGCCACATTCACCTCCACTAAACATCACTTAATCCCATGAGCGCCTGCGCCTGCCACGAAAATTGTTTGCGCTTCCACGCCCCCAACACACATGAGAAATGCGTCCGGTACTCATTTGCGGTTTGCCACACGGCAGCCTAAGAAAAATACCTAAGAGTCCAGGGGCATGAAACCTGAAGTGTTAAGTGGAGAGCCGTCTCGCAACATGACATGAAAGAAAGTCTCGAAACCTGCAAACGTTTGGTGTGGTGTGTAATTTTGCCGCAGGCATCAAGATGTGGTGTTGTAACCGTCCGTGACAGGCGCCGTGCTTCTTGACCGGTTGGCTTTTCTTTTCAGCAGGGGAGTGCGGCGCGAATACCACAATCATGGGATACCAAGTCTGATCAACTCGGCGTACATGCTTTCCTTGGAACTGTTGACCAAGCTGTGACTCCACTCCTGTCAGGTGCTAATGACTTCTGCCACAAAGCGCTAAGTGCGCTGACCTCACCAAATGCTGCGCCTGCGTTGATTTGGCAGATCACGGAGAGGCTCTGTGAAAAAGATTTCCGTGAGCAACTGGCTGGGAGCCGGCGTCTTCCTATTGTTCTCGACATCCTTGAGTTTGACCGGCTTCGTGTCCGGTGCTTTTGCAGTGCTTCCGCTTCAGCTTGGCGGTGGTGAACAGCTGGTGCTCACCTTGGCACGTGGATGGTTATTGACTATGACGCCACAAGGGCTGCGCTTCGTCCACCGCCCGGTTGATCAGAGCTGTTGCGATCGCCTCCTCCATTGCGACCCCTGCTTGGCATCCTGCTGTTATTGGCTGCCTTCAGCTTCTCAGCCAACGCTGCCATCTTCTCCCTCTCCTGGATCATCTTCCCACCATGCTTCTGAATGTGGCGACACTGAGGTCGTGATGTGACTCTGCGGGCTGCCGTCGACCTTTACCAATGTCACGAAATGAGAGATGACCTCTGCTCCTTCAATTCCAAAGGTGCAGAAATCCTTGAGAGAACCGATAAGAGGCCCATTTGCAGCAGCGAAAATCGCAGAGAACATGAACTGCTGCCAATCGTTTTCCTGCCTTGCACACTCCTGCTATGTTTTTTGCCACCGCCACAGCGCATTCTGAAAGATACACCGTGGACGGCATGGCGAGGATGATGTGCGATTTCTTCCAATTGCTCGGCATCATCATGCTGTTGTGCATCTCCGGATAGCTTTCACATTGCCCTCAATTTGCTTCCCCCTGTACCTGACTTAGCCTTGGCTTTGTTCTTGTCAGGAATTGACTCTCATCAGGCTTCCTTCTCATCCTGAGCCTTCAAGGCCTTGATCCTCTTCTCTCTCTCTCTCTCAATTTCCAGCTGCTCACCCAGCTTCCTGGGTGTCATAGCCCATCAGATCAAACCCTCCACACTCTACCATTGCCCCTTCGTCCTCCATACTATCAGGTGCAAGCTCCCAATTGGCATGGCACTGATCTCTCATCAAGCTTGTGCCGAAATGCCTAGCTCTCATGGTTCTCATCATGGTTCACACAGAATCCCATCAACCATCATCCATCATCAGGTCCAGGCCATCACCTCATCATCCATCATCAGGTTGTCACATTTCTTAGAGAGATCTGGTCTCCAATGTCTCCCGTGACCTTGAAGGGGGGTGATTAATCTGGTGTCGACATTAAACGGAATACAGATACGTACAAACACGAGCAGCACCACCAAGTTCGGGTGGTTTACAACGTATTTTCCTACTGGGTGTTGCTGGATAACTGGGCTCATCTGCGATCCCAATTCCCAACCTCGAGCGCCCCCCCCCCCCCGAAACCCTGCGACGGACCGCCCGCGCCTTGCCGCCCGGCCCAGTCCGGCTGAGCCAGTTCCGTGGTGGACGTGCGGCGCGCGGCAGGGGCGTCGTCGGCACGTGCGGCGGATGGAAGGGAGCTTTCGGTTCGGGGGAATTGGTGAAGCACCAAGCAGGAAAAGATGTGAACTCGTGCGAACACTTCGTATATCGACGAAGCAATGGTATTCAGGCGGCATTGGCTTCGAAGAAACAGACATCAAATTGGGTGAATTCCATGGACGTCACTCCGATTGAATCATTTGTCTTGACCAGACCTAGAAACACCGATCGAAAACGCCGAGAACACTGGACCTGAGAATCTCAACCATCGCAGTGGTGAAGATCGTCCGAATAGGAATCAAATCCCTATCGGGATCCAGTCGTACCCTCTGAGAAGGTATGACTGGACCCTCCTGGCATAACTCTGTCGAACACATCACCTTCTCAGGGGGTGGCAGTGGATCCCTACTAAAATATCAGCGTCGTGAGGGCATTGGCCAGTTGCTCGATGGGCACCACCCAGCAACCCACAAAACCTGCTAGAGCGAGCATCTCCTAAGATTTCAGAAGCCCCCATTCAATCCATTCCTGATTTCAAGAGACATGGATATTGATAGCATCATTGACCCCCTTGGGTTCTTTCTTCCCTCGCAGCTCGATGTTTTTGTTGACCTCTGCACAGGACCCATCTGCACAGGACCCGGCATGGGATCCTATTCGGAAGTGGGACACCAGGTCAGGATAAACGTCGGAAGGGGTGCGGCTGGGACGCTGTCGGAGAGAAACGGCCTTCTTCGCACCCCGAGTCGCACGGCGAGTCTTCTGGACGTCGGAAGGGGGTGCGGCTGGGTGACGTAAGAACGATCAACAACACACCTTATTTGGTGACGAAACCGCGCCCGACTCTGTAATTACGGACAAACACACAACTGACGGCAAAGGTTGGTATATATGACCCAGACACTCCATGTATGCCATATTTACCTACATTGGGGTGGTTTGGGGGGGTCAATGTAGGCATATATGCCATACATGGAGTGTCTGGGTGATCTACGTCAGCCAAAAACTCCCACCTTTAGACACCAGACTTCTACCCATCCTGTACCCAGTCTTGGTCCATGGCCCTATAGTCCCAATCAAACCTCGTCATTTGCCTGAGGTCCGTCCACTGAGTCTCCCAAGTAACTCAGCCATGTAAAACACCGAATAGGCGACAGGGCGAAGCATTGGCAGGTAAACACAGTCCAAAAGAAGATCTATGTGGCTCGAAAACCATCAAAGCCAGGTAAAACCCTCAAAGTTGAGGCGTAAGTTCCATTCACGAGTGGGAAATTGGGCTATTCTTGAGCCACACCCGGTGTAACGTACAGACACTTCCCCGCTACTGACGGAAGTAACGTCGCACTCGGAGAGCATGGCTGCAGACTGGCTGGTGAGCTGCTGTTCAGCCTAGCGGACAGGAATCGATGGAAGGAGTCGTGAGATGCCGTGAGACAAAAGGATTCCAATTCCAGATTCCCGAACCCCCAGGAATTGGATGCACATGGATGCACGCTGCTCCAACCTGACAAAATCGAACGTCTTCATCAGGGGATTTACAATAACCTGATCCCCAAAACCAGGACTGATATGGACTCTGAGAAGAGTGCCGCGCCCTGAGAGACTGGCTATAGTACCCGCGAAACGCTGCACCCGTGGTTTGACCCGAGTTCATGGGATTTGCTGTCCACGAATTCATCAACACTTCAATTGGAGCTCTTCTCCCCACAAAGAGGAGGTCCAAGTATGATCACATGCGCTGTATCCACCAATGCAATAGGGAGTTTCAACATCATATATACGTGTATATATAGTGTATCTAGTGTACATATAGACCCCAGACACTCCATGGGACTGCCATATATGCCGCCCCATTGACCCCGACTTCATCCACCCCAACTCTGATAGGCAGTCCTATGGTAGTCCCAGACAGGTCGTGTCTGGGGACTGAAACTGAAAAACATCTGCACTTAGGCGCACCGGTAAGCAAACCTTACAGCCCCCTCCCAAAATGCAGACCCCATCCAAATACCGGATGAATGCATCTGTGTGGTCTATTCCACTCGTGCATGGAATCCACTTCGACCAATCGCTGCAGGGTCCCGGATCACCATCAGACCCAGGGGTGGAAGTCTTTGTTGATCGACGACAGGGCTGGGCTGGCAAAACTGTAGCCGAACCCTTGACCGCTTATGAATTTAAACCTCTGTTCATCTAAGTTAACTTCCTAGACACACGATACAACTAGTTGCTTGGAACTTGGATGTTTGTTAATCATTATATAGTTGATGACCTGCGCGTGCCCTCTACCCATGTATGGCGCAAACCGAAAGTTCACCTCAGGTGGTTCGAGTCCACCCTGATCCGCTTGTGAGTAATATACTCTGGCTGTTAAACTCCCTTTGTGAAAGGCTTTGGTTGGCTAACTTCTTTGGTGCCGATGGGTGGTGTTTGCCCGAACAAAACACCAACACCGACACCACGCTATAAGGCCGAAGATCGTACTGTCGCCAGTGCTGGCTGGCGAACCCCCGCCGAGTGAACGATGAGGTTGATGAGGTCGATTTGACATGCCACTGAACCAACTCTTGCTGACTACTTAGGTGGACGAACCCCATATAGGAGCCGCGCTGGGTGGGAACAACGACCCACACACTCAGTAAAAACTGCGCATGTTTGGCGTTTTGCTTTTGAGCTCCCTGACTGTTGGGCGCTGACGTTTGAGCTTCACAGGCTTCGCGTGGGAAACATCAACGACACCGAAAAGACAGTTTCAACCAGAAATGCCATGATTCTTGACATGTGATGAGAAAATATAGTACCAAACATTTCAGCCAAGGTTTTTCAAGAACAGATTGGGTGTGGGTTGTGATGGGTTGTGTGTTCACGTCTTGTTTCTTGGACACTGAGACCTCAGGCCGGTCCGTTGAAGTCACACGAAGTCTCTTTCGGCCACAAAAATGTCTGGACAGCAGCCATGGGTTGAAGGTACAGTATGGCTCATCCAGTAGCAGTCGGGAAAACTATTGAACAAATAACGAACAATATATTCCTATTGGCGAAAAAGATCGAAAAAGGATTTTACTATGGAACATCATCCACTGTTGCTGGTCATTGGATATACCCAAGGTTGAACATGGTTCATTGGCGGAGCAACCCCCTTCCAAAAAAATATGCTATCTTCAAACTATGATGGTAGCTCCAAAAGAGAGTGGTTTTGGGCAGTCCATGAGTGGTTTTGGTTGTGTCACATCTCGAGGGTCGTGTCAATTCTTCCCGCAGGGTCTAGAGATGAATCTCCGAGTTCGGAAGAGGAGATCATACAAAAACATGCTGACATATCTGACATTAGGAAGGTTCTACCCTAGGGATCCAGTTGTACCGTACCTCAGGTGATGTGTGACCCTTCTGTAGGTGCCATTGTCGGGTCCAGTCGTACCTTCGGTACGGTACGATCCCTAGTGCCAGGGGCTCAACCAAAACCGCCCCAAACCGGGGCAGGTCCATCCCGTCTCCGGAGACCGGGTCGCCTCCGCCTCGCGGGCCTCCGCGGAGGCCAACTGTGCCTCTAAGGACTCGGACCTGGACGTCGGGGGCCAGCGAACGTGACGAGCCATGGCCGTGCAGGTGGAAATGACGTCGACCTCGCCGCGGTGGTGAGCCGCCAACAAAAACGGCCAGTGAAAACCGAGTATTGCAACAAAAACACCTCGAACTAGACGTACAGATACGTATGTAGTGGTCAGCCTGATAGTCCCCCTGCAACTGAGCACATTCCGAGAAATCCGAAGTTGGGAAACTCAGGTCACCTTAGAGTCTGAAACTGCCCGCAGATTCTTCGGCATCGTGTCATTGCCAAAACATGTCGAAGCATGCACAAACTCAAACACAGCTTGGGTCCAACTGTTTAAGGTCTGCGGTATGTGCTCCAAAGGCCTTCACGTCGTTGAGTCTTTGCAAATGCCAGCAAGGACGATGTTGGTCACAGTCTGGCTCCATTCGCTATAGTAGGTTGAAGCCCATCGCGACAGTAGGTTGGAGGCCATCCCTACTAGGGTGGAGGCCATTGCTATTAGGTTGGAGTCTCATATAGTCTCACGGATTGCAGGTCAAGCACAGTATTCGTCAGCCCTACCAACGTAAAAGACTGGAGACTTCGACAAGCTATCAAATGAGAAAACCTTTGAATCCATGGTGTCACCCATGGTGTTCGTCCCGAAGCTTTAATGGTTGGCCAAAGCTATCGATGGTTTGGCCATCGTGCCACACCAAAGAAGCTGGAGGTCGGTGTGCGCCCACCTCCGGGTGTTAGTTTCACCCAACGTTCGAAGAACCAAGTTCTTCATTCATTTCCAGAACCCAATTAAAGGATCATTAGTCTTGTGGAAAGGGTATATAGCCGGTATCCTCCAACAGGTCTCCTCGTTCGAGGGCTCGACCCTGTATAACTAGGTCTCACTGACCTGTGAAGTCGTCGTGAAGTCGCATCGACCAGCATCTCTTCCAAACGCCTGCCGACCACGACCGCTCTTCTCTACTCAAAAACAATCCCAGACGCGACTAATGGGACTGCCATAGGACTGCCGATCAGGGTCAATTGATCGGCATATATGGCTGTCCCATGGAGTGTGTGGGAATCCAACCTAATAGCAATGGCCGTTCCAACCTAGAAAGCAATGCCCACTTTCCCACCATCTCTTCCTCTCGCCGCTCGATTTCGTCCCTTCGCTCCGCTCGAGCTCGTCCTTTCGAGCGGACCGGGGAATGCCATCCAATCCGAGAGGCTCCGCGGCCAAACTCTGGAGCTCCACCTGCGCGCTCCGCGCGCGCCACCGCCGCGGGTCCGCGACCGTCTCTCCGCGACCCGGACGGTCGAGACCGGAGCTCGGCGTGCTGAGCCCGGAGGTGTGAAGCACAGAAGAGGGGCCGGGCATGGAAGACTGGGGCCAAAGGTCCAGGGTGGTTGGAACATAAAACATATAACTTGGCTTTCTAAAGGGAACCTGGCCTTCACTTTGGCTGCAAAGCTGAATGAAAAAGGGTCAGCCTCTACCTTGCCAGCATCCCAGCGGAGTTGGACCCATGTCCCATGGTGTCACTCTATGCCAAGTCGACCGACATGTTTTTTTTGCCACCAAAAAGACTGAACCACATGAGTCTGGCCCTTTGACTTCGTCTATCACATCATCAACTACCTCCAACTACCAACTTCTTCGGTGGGCCAAGGGTGGGTGGTTCAGGTGTCTGTCCCTACCTTCTAAGGATGTACGCTATTAAAGTCTGTAGCCGTGAAATTGATGAGAAACAATCCATCTCGACCGCCCAAGGATGGTACCAATGTTGGACCCTTGGAATATTCCATATAAGAATTGGTGTTCCATATTCGGTCCAGATGTCATGGAAAAAACACCAACCTGATGATATCTCTGAAACTCTGAACCTCACTCTGTGACCGGAAAAACAACGGATAACAAATATAAAAACAAACAAAAACACCATAAATAACACAAACACATCATCTGAAGCACCTGGTTCTTCAAAGTGACCTTTTGATATCCGGCCTTTTTTAAGGTCATTGCAAAAACGACGTCCCGAACGGAAGAAGCTGCTGGCATGCGTCTGGCATGCGTCCGGCACACTTGGTGAGTCAGTGAGTCATCTGCGTCATGCGGTCACCTGCGACATCGTCATGCTTTCACCTGCGGTCACCTGCGGTCACCTGCGTCTCTACTCGTGACTTGGATGTTCTTCGCACCGGGTCGTGACCCGTTGACCGACCGCACCTCCAAGGCTTCAGCCTCTGCCTGTGCAGCTCGAACCTCCTGCCACGGGTCGACCCGTGGAGTACGCTGGGCACGCGAATCACCTGGCGAGAAAGTGGGAAATCGGAACCCCGAAATCGATTGGAGCTTCCAGGTGGGATGAGGGATTGATTGATTGATGGTCTTTTTTCAACTGCCCAGGGGTCGGACCCTCAACTGCCCAGGGGTCTGGGCCCTCAAAACCCTGTGTTTGAGGGCCCGGATTCTTAGGGTGCTATACTTTGGAATGTTTGGATTGAGAATTGGTCCTGTGAGGTGAAGTCCTGGTTTGTCGCGATTTGGTGTTTCGCGCTTCCCCGAGTCACTGCGTGATATCTCCGAGGTGTTCAAGCAAATGTTCCTCTAGTTAAGGGGTTTCTGGTCCAAAAATCGCTGGTTTCCTTGATATTGTAAATATACCTAGAACCCAACATGACCTCTACTTTGATAGGAACATGCTTTGGCTCTTCAAAACAGGCTACATTTGTTTAAAGCTAAAAACAAGACTTGTGGCGACAGAACTGTGAAAATCGGTGTCCACATGCAAAACATACAAAATGCAGTTTGGGGTACTATGTCTCGCATCTTCGCACCATTAGGCACCCATTCTCCAATTCTTCCCCCCCAATCGCCAGATCGCTGACAATCGCCTGTGACAGTCGCCTTCTGCGTCCTGAAGATGGTGACATGGAGACTGGACAATGAACATACCCTAGTGCTGCAACTACCTCCTGACAAGGTGATTGGGGTGGGTTTGGGGGGCTCTAACTATCTAAGGCTATGGTTGGAGCCCTAGGGATAGAATGATTTCTATATATAGTTATATATATATATATTACTATATATTTATATAGTTGCTGATTTTGACCTTCCTGAGAGAGATCACTTGGGCTGGGTCGACACCCTTGCACTGTCCCCGAGCTGTCTTCAAGCTCTACTGCAGTAGGCCTGCGCAGGCGAAGTTGCTTGGGGCGCGCTTGAACACACGGCTGACGTCCGCTTCCGTCAAGAAGAACAACTTGTACGAGCATTCATCCCTGTAGACTCGGTGACAAGACACGGTTGATTCAAGCAAGATCATTGGCAGCATGTCCTTCCCCAACAGATTGGTCATCAACGCCACGGCTGCGTTGAAACCGACCTTGAAGTTCTTGGACTCATCACTCTTGCCATGGTACACCAGCGCAATCTCGTTGATGGTCTTGTTGGGGTAGCCAATCCGGATGGTCACCAGGTGCCGTTTGCAACCAGCACCCGCGGGGTGGCCCTTCTCGTAAGCGTCCCATTCGCCTGCCTCCACATGAAAAGGGCGTTGAATTCACTGCCAGGCGCTAGCTAGCTGTGTCGTTGTCTAGAATCTGGCCATTCTCTTCTAGCTAGCAGCTAGCAAGCGCCACCCACACTTAAAAACGCACACATCGCCATGGCACCGGGCTTGAGTTCTGACAGAAACGGGTTTTCAAATAAAGAGTGCCGGTGAAGCTGTAGTCGAGGGGCTGTGTCTTGTGAGCAAACGTTGAATTTAACTAAAATATATCAATATAGATGAAAGAATGCAAGCACTCTGACATCAACATCCTCCAGTCCTAAAGTTTCGTCGCTAAGGCTGAGAGTGGTGGCCAAGCAACGACGACGATGACGACGACGACGACGACGCAGCCAAAGCCAATCATAGAAGACACAAGAAACTTGAGCTGCCCCAATTGTTAACTAAACGAACATCCAGGTGGAAGCACACAAGGCTCTCCAATGATTGAAACAAGTTCGGCTTGCAGCCTGGAGCTCAGATCGGTTCTTCAAACATATGGCTCGTGGTTGAGGTCCGGCGGGGAACACTGCCCGCCGAAGCTCGCAGTTGAGGTCCGGCGGGCGAAGCTCGTGGTTCAGGTCCGGCGGGGAACACTGCCATCCGGAGCTGGCGGTTGAGGAGGTGGAGGAGAAGGAGGAGGAGGTGGAGGAGCAAGGCAGCTGACAAAAAATCTAACAACCCTCACCTGACAGGTGGGGGAAAAAATCCATGTGAATAACTGTACTATCAAAAGTTGAGAGCCCCCCGACGGAAGTCAAGAGGTCTGATGTCAATCTACAGTACTGTTGGTACTTTCATAGATGAGGTCTACAATTCTATCCCAAAGCAAATCTGCGCATCTGCAAAAAAAACTGAGGGTCTGAGGATTGCGGGAATCTTTGACAGCCTCTCGCTCGATGTGACACATTGGTTGTGCCGCATGCCGTTGTTGCCCGCCCAAGGGAGTGGCTACAATTTTGGCGTTTTTGTTCAAGGGAGTGGCTCAATTGATGTGCTTGACCTGCAGTTTTGGGCATTAAGTCGGTAGATCCCATGAATGCCAAAGCCCAGTGGACGATGCCGGTTCTACAACCCTATAGGTTCTTACAGCTAGTCACAGTATCATCATCTTTCACCTGAGCCTTCGGCATCGTATACGGCACCTGCGGACTCGATGCACCGCACCCCTCGCTTTCGACTCGTCTCCAGTCGACGTGCGCGGACGTTCGTCGGCAGCTTCTCCCAAAGCCAGACACGACTGACTCATGGAACTGCCAGTAAGGACTGCCGAGTTTCACGGCCAGGGGTGGTTGATTGAAGTCGGGGTCTGTTTGGGGCGGCAGTCTCACCTGGCAGTCCCAGACAGGTCGGGTTGCCCACTCCATCTATGGAGTTGCAAACATGAATCCCCCACGAAGGGCGACGACACCAGAATCCGAGCTCAGAGTGTTTCAAGGGGGTCAGACCCGACCGCGTTTCATGGGGGTCGGAGGGACCCGGTATGTGGCGTAATGAGGGGTAGAGCCGATGAGATCCTCTCCTTCTGCCTTGAACCGTTGAACAGGTCCACAGCCATCCAACTGGGGCCCAAACAGGCTAGAATCTATAGAAGCTTTATCTAATGCAGCACATGTCCATTCCGTACTCAAAAAATACGTACAATGCAAATGAAATGCGTCTCAAACCCTAAGAATCAAGAAGCCTCAGCCGGTGAAGGTCTTCAAAGTCCATCCCGCAGGAGGAGCAGCAGCGCAGGGTCAAAGCCCGCCCTCCAGCTTTGGAGGGTCCAATGATGCTTAGGGAAGGGTCTATCAACCAAGAACCCATGAAGCAACAAGAAGAAGCAAACCGCAAACCCATGCAAACACCCATACGAGCAACAAGTTTGATGTTTGGAAATCAGACTGACCAAACTGACAAGCAAGTTAAGAACAACTCCTTCTGTGAGAATGACATAGAATGAATCAATAGTCTGAGACAAGACCGCTATGAAGTTCCAAGCACGGGGCCCGACTCTGAATTCGGGACACTGCAGGGTCTAAGATGCGTGGCAAAACTATGCTGAGACGGGGCGTCCGGCCCTACTAGGCCCGGCCCGGTGCTCTCGTCCGTTGGATTCCGCCCTTCCCACCGTCACTTCGGTCGGTCCGTCGGACAAGGGCACTCTTCTCCACCACGCTCTTCTCACTCGCCACCTCGCCTGGCGACCGAGCGATGCTCCTTCGGTCGGAGCGTCGGTCGACGAAGAACAAGAACGTCGACCCGGTTGGTCCTGTCCTGTCCTTCCTTATCCCAGACACGACGGGTCTGGGACTGCCAGTCCGGACTGCCGAGTTTCACGGCCAGGGGTGGTTGACTGGGGGTCAATTGATCGGCAGTCCTATGGCAGTCCCAAACGGGTCGTGTCTGGGTATAGTGGCCGGAATGGTATCGCTCACACATGTCCCGAATTGGTGGTCCCTCGTGATGCGGATGGACCATATATGCTTCTTCGGCTCAAAATCGCTTGGATCGAGACATGACCGTTTCTGGCCATGGCTGGTTTGCATCCATTTGTCAAATCCTCGTAACATCTCGTAACTGTCCGTCCCAAAAACGTTGCGAACCGTAGAACAGCGGGCGACTCGCCCCGGCGAATCGAAGTCTCTCCCACCTACCAGGACATGTGCATTCTCCACTCGCTGCGATGCCGTGCGTCTCTTTCCGTTTAAAGAAATCCCAGACACGACTAATGGGACTGCCAGTCCGGACTGCCGATCAGGCCAGGGGTGGTTGACTGGGGGGGTCAATTGATCGGCAGTCCTATGGCAGTCCCATGGAGTGTTTAAACAAATTGTATGTAAAGAACCAACAGGGTGCCCGCAATATCACACCATGCCTCACAACAGGGCTACACAAAAAATAAGACAAACACACACATACCATCTCTTTTTAGAAAGCTAAACCCAGCTAAACCCACAAGGCATAAGCAACGTTTCCTAGATTGCATCGAGTTCTCCTAAAGCTAGCCACCTTGGAAAGCAAAGGATGGCTCAGTTCGATGTCTACCTTTGGAAAACTCAGTGAATGTCTGGAGAAGTGTCTGGAGATTTGCTCCGTTCAAAAAACAAACAAACAGCAGTTTTGAGGCGCACCAGTGGCATTTCGCTCGTTCAAGGGCCGCCGTAGATCCTGGAGCGAGGCGAGGACAGGACCTCCGGGCACGAAGCAACGGGTGATGTTTTGAGTGCTCAAAACCCTATAGTGATCCCCAAATAGATGGAAACGGTTTCCAATGCATGTTTAGTGGGAAAATACATTTCTATCTATTTGGGGGTCTATATAACAAATAGCATGGAAGTTCAGAGGCCACCGGGTCTCTGCGTGATGACCTTGGGAAAAAAATAAAACAAACAACGCTTTTTGGGCCACCGGGGTGCGCTTGCACGTTTGGAATCCATGATGTAAGCAAATCCCTAAAACCCACTTTCAAATTGAAAAGGACTCACTTCACATTGGAAGTCCATTAGCTCCGAACCCTAACAAAGTACTCTAAGAATCTATAGAACCAACAAACAGGGTTTTTGAGATGTCTTGCGGGTCCGGACCCTTTTTTTAAAGCTAAGTTCGCGAAGTTCATCAAGTTGGGATGTGCCTTTTCTCCCAATCGGTCCCATTTGTTTTGCCGAAAACCACTGGATATAGATGGGTCTATATGAGACTCCGAGTCTTCACTGTCGGGTCATAAACTCGAAGCTCCAAAACCCTGGTACGTTGACCTCCCAGGCGATCTGTTCATTTTCTTCTTGGTCAACCAAGGCCTCTGACCTCTGGGTTCGGACCCACAGCCAATTCTCCTAGGGATCCAAGTAAGGTACGGCTAGACCCTCAAAACCAAACTGGATCCCTAGGGTCTTAAAGCATCTTACTTGAGGTCGACCCTCAAAACCGCCATAGCAGTACCACCCAGTGGTCTTCAGTGTCGAACACATCACCTGAGGTACAGTATGACTCGATCCCTGGGGTCTTAAAGCAGGACAGATTGAACATTGAATTGCTCCTCCCCATACACTGAGACCGAGACCTTGAAAAACGCCCACACGCGATAAGTTGAAGCCAAGGGAAAACAATATGATTTACCTTTACTCCAGGTTCCAAGAAACATGAAAGTCATACAATCCCTTGTCTGTAAAGGAGGAAATCCTCCAAATTCTTGTTGGAAGCGAGGTAAACCAAAAGGTAATGTCCTAATTGGTGGTCATCTTGGCACACTTGACCAGACACCATGTTTGACCGAACACTTTGATCATGTTTAACCGAACACTTTGACAGGTCTGACAGGTCTGGTATCTGCCCTCAAGACCTGAGAGACTGCCCTCGCAGCAACTGCTCTCCTTCGCTGAAACCTTCGGACGTGGCTCCACCATCTTCGTGGGGCAGTTCTCCTCTCCGACGGCGTGACGGCGTCGCTTTGAGCGAACTCCGTCTGAACCCAACACCAGGCCCGGTGACACCCTGACTCAGCTGAAAATGGTCGACCGGAAGACCACAGACCGCCCAGCTGCTCCGTGGAAAACAAACCGCACCCACCCCAAAAAAACAAATATATATATATATATACATTATATTTAATCAACCAATCGGTTTACAACATGCACCACAGTGACAACAAATACTTATGTCTGTATCAAACATTTGATATCATTTGGTGGTTGAATCCCGTAACAGCACATTGCCATGAGAGTCAAGATTCAAATTTGCATTATGTTGTTTAAACACGTTAGAACCCACGTCCAAGGCTTCAAGGTTCAAGAACTCAAGGTGCAAGAGTTCATGAATCTAAGCCCCAAGATTCAGAATCACAGGTTCAAGATTCTAGCAACATGAATCTCATGCCAAGATTCCTGGACTTTGATTGCAAACATCTTTGAAATCTTGAAACTTGACGCCTGAGGTAAGATTTAAGGATTCCTTTCGTGATTTCTTGAACCTTGAATGCCATTGGAATGTGTTGCAATGGGATTCAGTCATCAAATACTCTATGTCGGGATCCTGGATCCTGAAGATTCTTGAAAGCGGCTAAGCGGCTCGGCTCCCAAAATCCTTTCCTGACATCTTGGATCAAAGCGGCTCGCCTCCCTTTCTTTGGAACTTCGTTCGGGGAAGCGAACGGCAGAGGGCACAGGCAAGAGCACAGGCAAGCTGATGAGGCCACGGGATTGACAAGCGGGAAATTGAGCAGTTCAAGTGGGAACAGAGGGCCAGCCTTATTGGTGCGCAACCCGGCCAGCCTGAGTCACGCGCGTCCTGGTCCGTTGAAGCCTTTTACAACTACCAGCCCTGCATCAGGACCCAGTCCCAGTGGCAACGTGGGTTGCATGGCGAATCCTCCACACGGACAGTTCCCGCAGTGCGCGTGCTGAGAAGGCAAATGTGGCAAACGTGTTCAAGGTGGATTGGATGTTCACCGAAGAAGCGTCAAAGTTAAAGTTGATGTGGAAAAAACGTGTCAAGGCAGCAAGGGTGAGCATTGATAGGGCCTGGAGGTTCAGCAAGGATCGCCAGCGCTTCAATGAATTCACCAAGGTGGGTAGATCTCGGCTTCCTGCCCACATCTGGTATGCGCAGTGCAAGTACTGGAATCACAGTCAGGATCTCTCAGCGCGTCCGCAAACAAAAGGGTGCATGCAGGACATGGTTGCCGCAGGGTGCTACAATCTGAATCATTTTACTTGACTATAAAACACTCTCTCTCGTCACCACACAGTTTGACAACATGATGTTACACATGTAACAAACTGTCAACACAACTGGAAACAAACTATGCATCTACAGTGACACAATTGGTAAACAATGTCTCTACAACTTTCAACAAATTCAAGCCATCTGCATCTGCAACTGTCAACCAACTCACAACACTGAGGCATGTGTATATATATATATATGAACATGGGTGTATATCTATACATACTGTAATTATACATAATTACTTAAACCACACCACAAACAGATTTGATATGAAAGAACACTCATGATTTGGGTGTGGGTATGCACAAGTCCATGTAGAAGTTCCTGTCCTTAGCTTCGTGTGAGACTTGGAGCACTTCGTTGCAGGACAGTTGCAAAGCCGCACTCCTTGCCATTCCCACCAGTCCGAAGTGGCATTGGGAAGATGGGCCTTGGAAGGCTGACACAACCTGAAGATACCTGAAGCTGGAAATAGAACTGTTATGGTGGCCTCACACAGCTGATGCTCGAAATCCAAGGGTGGCTTGGGATTGTTCCTGTTTCCTGTTCGGAAAACGTCTGAAGGTGCTTTGGACCGATCTACTTGGAGCTCTGTTTGTATCGTTACAGGTCCGCTTAGAAGCTTCCTTGTCTGCCGTCCAGGTGGAACGTGTCGCTCAAAACGTTATGCGCATGGAATGATCCCTACCGGAGTTCTGAACAAAATGAAACGACAAGTCTTGAATCGAACAAGTAACCAGCAGTCACAAAGGGGTGCGATCCATGGAGGTTAGGGGTGCCCATGATCCACTCACTTAGGGACTAAACACCACCCCTTTGTGACTCCTGGAATGTGCGTTTTTGTTGCTTTCTGATTCGAGGACATGACCAATTTTCACGTCGCTTTCCAGCATGCTGTTGTCCCTAGTCCCTTCCTTCACTGCTTCTAGTTAGAAGACTCCCCTCCATATACAAACAAATGCTGTAATTTGCAGCAACTGGTAACTAACACTGTCAACATACCTCACTCGACTGCCTTGAAAAGGGTTTTTGTTCGGTCTATTAAAAGCACAATTAAAAGCAAACGGGGAAAGTAAGAAGGAACCCTCTGGTTAAATCTTATGTCGCAGGTTCGCGTGTTTATTTGTCTTTGTTGTGCTTTTCTTTCAGTTGTTTGAACTACAAAAGAGACGTTGTCGAACGAAACAACGACGTCGATCAGATCTGCAATGATCTGCACGAACCTGGACCCATACAGACCCATACAAAGCTTAAGGGTTTACAAGATGTTTGCCGTCAAACGGTGGCCGTTTTCACTCTCAGAAACACGTTGGTGAACCAACAAACTCCTCGTATCTCCTCGCGGAGACCAAATGCTATGGTCAGCAACCGTGACAGACGCAATAACTTACGCAATACAATGAGTACTGAGGACAAACTAGCTCAATTTTATCTCCTTTAGGGTCTCTTCTTGTTCTGCTGTTTGCACAGTAGGCTCCGGGCAAAAACAAGCTCAATGGCTCGTATGCCCGGAGCTGTGTCCTTTTGTATCTAAATCCGGCTCAAGGTTCTGCCGGCTGCTAAGCTAACGGTCTCCAACCTCCTGTGCTCCAAAAATATCAATATCTTCATGCGCAGATTGCGATCGAAGCGTTTATAAACAAACACTGACAAAGTCCTGGATCTTGAAATTTGCACGACTACGTGCGCGGAAAGAGAGCCGCCGGGATGTTCAAGTACCTAAAACCTTCATCCGTTCCTGTTCCCACTCTTCATCTGCGAGCGCAAAACACATTTCAGCTTCTCACTCAGCTTCTCACCAATTTCTCAAGGAAAAGCAGCCGGTGACCCCCCCCGCCCTCCGCCGAGGATTCTCAGCTTTTCAGCAGCTGGTCGTCAGTGTGTCGAGGCAAGATGAGGCGAGGCACGGCGATCGCCCTCGAAAATAGCGGCTTCCCAGACCATAAGTTACACACATTTACCCAATCAATTGACCCCAATATAAGCAATAATATAAGAGATGGTCTGGGGCTAACCATTTTTCACCATATTTCCATGATATGTAAATCTGTTTTCCTGTTTCAGTGTCCCCAATTCTTCGCCTTTCACGTTTTCCATGGCGTTTTCCCTCACCCGGCAGGGGCGCCACTTCCACTCACTCACCCGGTGGAGAAGAGAGCTCAAAACCCAGTCACCGGTCCGTCGGTCTCTCCCAACATCCATCGTTTGAAACGTGTGGAAAAGCAAACACGACGGAACCGTTGTGTTTGAACCGTTCACCAAAAAGAAGAAAGAAGCCTTCCCTGAAAAGCCTTACAGACTGGAACGAACCATGGGAGAGCCCCTAGAGAGGCAGCCTACGTGTGCCTATCAAGTCTACAGACTTGCACAAAGAAGCAACGTCTTACAGATCACGTGACGACACATCAGCACAGAATGATGGCTCTTGATGTGGAAGGCTCAAAAAACACACGTTTCAAGATTGCTTTCAGTCAATATGGAGAAACATGCCAACGAACATGAATACAGTAAAGGATGCTCCACCACGGGCGTCGAATTGGTGTGTGTGCTCCACGACGCGGAGAGTGACGCGGAGGTTCGCGGAGAGGTTCCCGCCTATTGCGGCCTCGACCCACTCGGCCAGTTCCTCCACGTTGCCGCTGTCGCCGGAGAAGAGCTTGAATCTGCCGGAGAAGAGACGTGGAGTGTGAATCGTTTGTTTCGTTTGTATAAACTGATTGCTAATTTGATTGCTTATGTTTTTTTAAACGGGCTAAGTTAGCATCTATATTTGGCCAGCTCCTACTTAATTAAGCAACAACTAGTTAGCTGTCTAGGTAGGATGCAGGATATCTCCTCCCCCGGCTGCTCTGATCCGCTCGATCCACATGGCGTTCACCCGTTCCGTGTGGTGAGTGTCGTCACATGATTTTTTCAAGGCACCTCCTAATACCACAAAACAGGTAACATGGGAAAACCTGAGAAGCTGCAAAACGAAAGCCAGCGCTTCCCTTTCTCGAGAA